GTGTGTGTGTGTGTGTGTGTGTGTGTGTGTGCACTATGCAGGTACACATGTGTATGTAGAGGTAAGAGTGCGTTGTTTGTGTCCACTTGGGATTTTTCTTGCACGTATGCTCCTGTGAGCTGGTGTGTTTGTACGTGCCCATGCTCTCTGCATGCTTGTAGGGGAGCTTTTGCCATGTGGGATGCATTTTGCATGTCTGTGGGGAGCTTTTTGCACATGCATGTGTTCCTGTACAGCATGTTCACGTGTCTGTGCCTCTTGAGTGTGGGATTTGCCTTGGCCAGTTGTGTTTAAGCTTGATGAGTGCAGCCTGCCTGGCACTGGTTCCTTGACAAGTGCTTCTCCAGGCAAGTGTGCATGTCGGGGAAAAGGATCTGCCAAGCCAGCTGCAAAGAAACTAGGTCAGATCTGAATTTTTGACCCCTCTTTTCTGTACTTTTTCCCCTTGCAGCTGCCTGCAAAGAGAGCAAACGTCCCCTGGAGGTGTCCCAGCACTCGGAGGAGATGGGCCTGATCCTGGGCATCTGTGCTGGAGGGCTGGTTGTCTTAATTATTCTCCTTGGCGCTATCATTGTCGTCATTCGGAAAGGGTAAGGAAACCTCTGTCTGTCTCCTCATCCCTCTGTGAGCTTTGCAGCTGTCAGCTCCCTTGCTTCTCGGCATTTGGCCCTTTCCACTCCTCTGAGCTCCGCTCTCTTTTGAGGGGGGATTTCAGTGCCTAGAAAGTGGTGCATTGTTGTTGACAGGATCTCAGAGCTAGGGAAGGGGGCATGAGGGAGTTGCAAAAATACCACCCCCCCACCAGGTGCAGCTATAACCCATGCCTGCAGTTGCTTCCTTGACTCTATCCACTCTGCCTCTGCTCCTTTTGCTCTGCCGATGCCCCTCATCCTGACCTGCAGCCCTCCTGCTATTGCATTCTTGCTCCAGACAGCTTGCCAGGTACTTCAGTTCTGTCCTGCGTTCAGTTATTGCCATCTTTCCCTCGGATCTGCCAACACACCCCACATCTGACCCCCTGCTTCCAGTCCAGTCTTGTTCCTGTCCTGAGCAAATTATGCCAAATTGTAACTTGCTGTTTTCCTTTGGCCAGCAGGGCTGTGATTCAAACAGTCTCAGTGCCCTGCTCGGTCTGTATCTGCCGCTCTGGTAAGATTTCACAGTGACGTCAGGGCTTGGACAGCTGGTTAGACACCTGCATAAAACCACTGCTGCCTTTGAGGAGGCAGAGAGATGGGTTAGACCAGTGAAGAGAAGGAGAGGCCAAGGTGAGAATGGCAAATATCTGTTATTTGAGGCTAACGTAAGTCCTTGGGGTTCCCAGCAGAGGGGCTCCTATCTCCCCTGCTGGCTGATAGCCTGTGTTGCAAGTCTCAGGAGTTAAAAAAATCCAGTGATACCCAGATAAATTCAGGAGAGTTGCTTCCAGCCACAGAGTGGGGGCAGGAGCCGTATGCCAGGGCTGGGGTCCTGGCCCTGCAGTATAGCACTGCTGCCTCCCTTGCAGAGCAGGGAGCACGCAGGGGATGAAATAGGCTTGGTGCTGTGGGTGCTGCTCCAGGCAATCCCATCTCACACCTCCCTTTCTTCACTAACCCTGTCAGGTTGTGAACCAGGTTGTGGAACCGGCAGACCCATTCCATTTGTGCCTGGTGTGGTAGCATTAAGCTGGCACACTGCAGAGCCTACCTAACCCCCATGCCCTCGTTAGCATCATTCCTGCAGCACATGGTGCCACGGCGACAGCACTGACCTTCTGTGCCTTCTCCTGCTGTCCATTCCCTGGCCGGCTGCCTGGAAGATGCCCGCTGCTAGCAGTTCCTTTGCCGGAGAGGTGACGTTCCATAAAGGGCAGAGGAGTCAGGCCTGTCCAGGCAAACCACTAACTAATGAAATATGCATGAAATGTTTGGTGATAGGCACTGGTCTCCCGCCCCTCCAGCCCCTGAACTGCAGTGTCAGGGAGGCTGTGAGATCCACACAGTGGTGCTGCCCATGGAAAAGGGCAGCCTGCCCTGTGACGGTAACGGCAGCTCCATGCGGCTCTTCTTTGCAACTGAGTTGGTTGCGATCAGTGCTGGAGAAGCTCTGTCTCTTGCCTCAGTGCAGGCAGCTCACACCGGGTTCTGCTGTTCCTGCCTGTCTCACATTTTGCGGAGACCTGATGATTTCATTTAAGATATGGAGCAAGCAGGAATAGTTGGTTTCCTTTTCTTCCCCTCAAAGGGCACTGCATGTCAGAAGCTCCTTGCTGCAGATGCTTCTGCTCTAACCTATGCTTTTGCTCAGGGCTGGGCCCTGGGGAGCCTGAGATAGAGGCAGTAGTCCCCGACGGGAGAGCTGATGGAATGACAGGCTTCTTCCTGTCCCCAAGCTGGAGATGAAGCTAGGCACTGGGCATCTCCGCCTGCCTTTCACATTCAGCTGGTACATAGGAAAGGGCTGGAGGCTAAGGCCTTGTCTCCATTGGGGATCTGAGCTTGTGTCAGCCTCTAGCAGAGCTGCTCCAGCTGCAGACCACAAGAGCAGACAAGCAAAGCTGCTTTTTGCAGGGGAGAAGCATAAGCTGCTGATTTAAATTACAGCTTTGCCTTATCTGCATGGGGAAGCTATGCCAGCAGGAGGCTTCTGCTATTCCTTGGGAGTGGGTCGAAGGCATACACAGGCATGCCTGTGCCTTGTTCAGGCTGCTGCAGCCCCTTCAGCAGTTGGTGCCCACCAAAGGCATGCTCCAGGCTCTGTTGGCATAGCTCTGTAATAGCACCACTCAGAGTTGCCGGACACACCTGGCTGTGAACATGGTGAATTTCCTGTGGTGGCTGCTGTCTGCCAGCAGAAAAAGCCTGGGACAGGTAAGGTGCAAGAGCATGTGTGCATGTATGTGCATACAGTGCCATGTAGAGATACCTTAGCTAACTCTGAATGAGATAACTTCAGTACCTGAAACTGTATAGCATAGTGTTGTGCTAAGCTAAGTTGCCTGGCTCAGAAGAAGGGTACTTTTTTTTTTTTGTATGTGACACCTTCTCCCCACCACCTGAATATGACATGCAGCCTATTTTTGGAAGGCCCTAAGAAGGGGAAAAAAAGCTTATCTTGAGGTACAGATGAATAATTGAGATCTGGGATCTCTGGGGTTGGGGACTGCACAGGAACAGGGCCTGGTCTGGCACTGGTGCTTGTGCTGCATGCTCAGTCTGGGATCCTGTGGAGGCTCTGAAGTCGTATACAGAGTCTGACTCGGTGGACGGCCCCAGCACCAGCTGTCATGCACTTGGTATGCTGAGTCTGCCCAGACATGTGGCTCTGCAGCCAGTGTGTGGGATAGAGCCTGGCATGCTGGAGCTGAGGCTGTGTGCTGGGTTGGACCTGGCACTGCTGCTGAGGACTAGCCCCATGTGCCAGCCCAATCCAGCATGCATTTGGGGAGAGGAATTCCCCATGGGCCCCAAAATTTGGTGGTGGGGTGAGGAGGACATGAAGCCAGTACTAATTACCATGTCTCCCAGAGCATAATGCTGCCTGTGCTCCGTGCCCCCTATCCCTTGCTGCCACATGTCCAGACCCCTGGGGAGCCCTTTTTCTCACATGGAACGCACACCCCAATTTTCCCCAGCTGGTTTTGGAGGGAAAGTTGCTGGTTATGTGAGAAAATCCAGTATATTAGCCCAGCCCGAGTACTGCACTAACACGATTATGCTGCTTCCAGTTCTAGCCAAGGTGTCTGCACTGGACTGCACTGCATTGTGTCACATAGACATACTGATATGTGGGCACAGTGTGCCACAGCTCACAGAGGAGGTGGTACGGTAGTGTTGGACTAAGGGACTCTGAGGTTTTTTTCAGGGTGAGCTATTAATATGGTTACTCGGTGATGGCTGCACAAAGCATTCAAAGGTCCAGGTAGGATATCTGCCACCCCCTGCTAGTGCCCACCCCAAGTAGTTTCCAGAGGATTTTCACTCAGCTGTGAACAGGACACTAGGTTGTCTGAGAAAGCAGCATCAGACTGTCATGACCTGTAGCACTTTTCTCTGATGCTGGGACTGAGGTTCCTAGTCTGCATGGATCTTCTCTGGGATGCCCATGGGATGAGACTTAAACCAGAGAGACTACAAAAATGATCATTTCAGCCTGCAAGGGGTCTCTGTTGAGCAGCCACAGCCTCGTGGGTGCCGAGCACAGGATGGAGAGCATAGGAGGCCCTGGCCTACATCAGAGAGGCCACATGCTTGCTGCATTCATCCCTGTGTATCTAATGGGTTAGGTGTTGTGGTAACAGGAGATCCCTTGCAGCTCTGGCAGTTGCCTTTTCATCAGCTCAGGGGAAAAGGGGTCACAAGTCATGTTCCTTGAAGAGGAAGGACCAGATATGCTTGCCGTCCAGAATCTCACATCTCCTGCTTGATGACTGCTGCTAAAGAGTTAAAATTGAGCCCCACTAGAAGGTAAAGAGGCAGGACTACAAAAGGGATGCTGGGAGACTCGTACACTAGCCTGACAGGTAAAGGGAGCTACAGGAACCCTATTTGTTCACACCTAGGGTGTTTATATGTGTGCTTTGGGAGGGGGGGTGGGGACGACTTTGATTAGCACAGCTGCAAGAGCCGCACTAATTAAAAGTTCCCGGAGCGTCATATGTATCAGTGTCCCCGCGCTGAAAAAAGGTGGTGGGGTGCTTTGACCTAAAGCTCATTGGACCAGCTTTAATTTAAAGCACCTCATCACCATTTTTAAGCACAAGGATGCTGATACATGTGATGCTGGAGGCTGCTGGAGCACAGTAATTTCCACACTCCAGTAGACTCACTGGAATTACAGTTGCATTGGAGCAGGCTTCCTGCACCTGCATAGGAGCCCCTAGTGTTCCCCGATTCCTAGGTCAATGCAATATAGTTCCCAGTAGCAGTGGTTTCCGACTTTTTTAGGGAAAGAACTCAGCTGGACTGGTCAGCAATCTCTGATTCCCTTGCTGTGAATATAGGACCCCGTGCTTCACCTAGCACCAGGTGATGGAACGTCTGTCACTTAGGCTTTGCTTCCAGAGTGGAATTTTCCACTTTTTGAATGTAGCTTGTCAATAAGCAACGAAGGAGCAGATGCTGCTCCCAGCAGGTTCTTTCTACTGGCAACATTTTTCATTTACACCAAGTAGGGAGTGGGACTGCAGAAAGGATGATACGTGCCAATGCCTGCGCACAGACCACTGGGGGAGGTGAGGGAAAGACACTGACCAGCTAACCAGGCAGGGTGCGGACAAGGTTTCTGTGAGTATTCTGGCTCTCCCTAAATAACAATAGAAAAAGCAAGGGGCATCATTGTGCACGTAAAGGGCATGTCAGCCAGCCTGATGCAGGAAGAACATGTCTATGCTAGTCCCCATTAGGAGCCTTTTGTCTTGTTCTTTATGGCTGTAGCGAGTGGAGCTGTTGCAGCACCCACAGGCTGGTCAGAGCCAGTAAGAAGCCATCAAGGAGCTTTATTGTAACCCCAGTGGGTTTCCTAGTCCTAAACAGCAATGTTGATCAGCAGCCTGCATGCACCAGCAGGAAAGAGCAGATCCCAGTGGGCACCAGCCACCCTGCAGCTA